AGTTATCATTGTTCATATTTTGCTAAAAGAACAAATGATATTTCCTCTTCTCAGGATCAGTTTTACACATGAGCCAGATAGGTAACAACCTCTCCGGTCTCTTCCCAGATCTAAATCTATTATTCTATGATTCCTCTAGCTAAAAACATATCCCCAAATGGCCAATCCTTTATGCCCAAGATTATAATGGTGGATTCATTCTTTTGGATTAAGGCATTATACATTAAAATGGAAATACTCTGGGGCAGCTAGGTGGGACAGTGGATAGAGCACCGGCCCTGGATTCAGGAGGACCTGAGTTCAAATCCAGCCTCAGACACATAATACGTACTAGCTGTGTGACCCTGGGCAAGTCACTTAACTCTATTGCCTAGCCAAAAAAAAAAATGCAAATACTTCTGAGAGGTAAAACATCAGCTATATCATCAATACTCTGATATAAAATAATCAGGTTCACTTGAACCAACACTTAGGTGAGAGAATATTTTATAGAGGGGTAAAACTCAGAACAGGCAGGGATTGATAGGCATCTGAGGACAGCCAAGAGGAAGTACCTAGAGTCACAGTGAGGTAGTACGTATGGAGCGTGATGGGGAAAGTGCCAGATTTGTGTTCAGAGGTCACGTGTTCCAGTCCTGACTTTCTTACTTAGCACCTTTTTAACCTTAGAAAAGTCACTTAATTTATCTGGGCCCCAGTTTTCTGATGTGAAAAATTAGCAGGTTAAACTAGATCATTTGTAAGGACTACTTTGCCCTGTGTGCCCTTGGGCAAATTACTTAATCTCTCTGGGCCTCAGTTTCCTCAACTATAAAATGAAGGGGTTGAACTAGATAACCTTAAAGGCTCTTTTGGAGCAGAATTTGAACTCAGGTATTCCTGACTCTGGTGCCCAGCACTGTATCCACTGCACCACCCAGCTGCCTTTTATAAACCTTAAAATCTTATATAAATGTCAGCTAGTGGCATAGTGGATAGAATACCATGTCTGGGGTCAGAAAGACTAATCTTCCTGAGTTCAAATCTGGCCTCATACACTTAACAGCTGTGTGACCCTGGGCAAGTCACTTACCCTTGTCTGCCTCAGTTTCCTTATCTGTAAAATGAGCTGGAGAAGGAAATGGCAAACCACTCCAGTATCTTTACCAAGAAAACTCTAAATGAGGTCACAGAAAGTAGGACATGACTGAAACTACCCAATAATAACAACAGGACTTCTAGCCTGCACTTCTTCTTCTCCTGTTCAGTTAGGGCCCAGATTACGGTTCCTGCCCTCAGGCACTCACTAACTAGCCGAACAACAACAATGATTAATATTACAGAAGACACCCTTAGGACACCCTTCTTTCAATATTTATTCTTTTTTTTTCCTCATCCCCTTCCATTCGCATTTTTTACCTTGATACTCTCTCTAGACTTCTTTTCTATTTTCCTTCTCATCCTTGTAAATCACAGAGGACCCTTTCCCCTTAGAAAATCATCTCCCTTACCTGTTTCCAATTTAGTACTTAATCTGTCCTTCAGGACAAGTAGCATCAGTTCACCTAGAGGGTCCCTGAATTAAAGGGTTCCATATTTAGTGCTAATTTTCTAAAGTTAATGTTTAGGCACAGTCTCTGTTGTGGTCACACAGGGCTGAGGGCCATTCTGTATTTTTGTTTGTTTCATGTGTGGTCTTGGACAGCCTACTGGCAATGCGCCTCTCACTGCTTTGCCAGAGTGGTCCTCAGAAAGCCAACAGGTCCAATGCTAGGCCTATCCTCCAAAAGACTGTTGCTCATCCTTCGTTCTTGAAGAGGACCAATGACATCAGGAGGGTGATGTCCTGACTTGCAAGTGAATTGGACGGAAGTGAGGCAGAGCTGTGCAGAGCCATCAGCCTCACTCTCTCCTCCAGAGTCATTGGAGTCCAGTGGCGAGACATGTCAGGACAGCCAGTGATAGCCCCCTCCAAAAAGGAGGAAAAAGGAAAAAAGGAATAAAGTACAAGGAAAAAGACAGACTAATCATGTGATATAACCAATGTACATCACACACGCTCCATCGATAGCCTCACAAAGTCAAGAGAAAGCGATGACAGCCCCCAGAATATTGGTAGAAACTTAGGAGAGGAGCAGAATGTTGTGCTAAGTGGAGGCCTGGACTTGGAAGGAGGCAGGCCTGGAGTGTCAGATCCTACCTTTCCAGCTGTCTCCACATACTCTACGATCCAGAGACACTGGCCTCCTTACCATTCCTCCCACGAGACCCTCCATTCCCCAAGCCTTTTCATTGGCTATACCCCATGCCTGGAAGTCTTTCCCTCCTCATCTCTTCCTCCCGGCTTCTCTGGCTTCTTTCAAGTCTTGGCTAAAGTCCCATCTTCCGCAAGAAGCGTCTCCCACTTGCCCTCAATGCCAGTGCCTTCCCTCTCAGCTTATCTCCAATTTATTCTGTATATATCTTGCGTGTACCAACTTGTCTGTCTGTTGTCTTCCCCATTAGAATGTGATCTCCTCAAACGCAGAGATTGCTTTTGCCCTTCTTTACAGATCCCTGAGCTTAGCACAGTGCCTGGCACATAGTAGGTGCTTAATAGATGCTTGTTGAATTAGACCCTGTGACTCTAGGCAAGTCATTTTACCTCTCTGTGCCTCAGTTTCCTCACACATAAAATAAAGGGCTTATTCTCAACTGCCTCTAAAGCCCCTTTCAGCTCCAAATCTAAAATCCTAAGGAGATAGACAAGAGTCACAAAGGCGGGTAGGCATGGATGGGCCTTCATTCATATTTATAAAGCATGTTCAAAAAAGAACTAGAAGGTATGTTGTTAATTGTGTCTAACTCTTTTGTGACCTCATTTGGGGTTTTCTTGGCAAAGATACCGGAGTAGTTTGCCATTTCCTTCTCCAGCTCATTTTACGGATGAGGAAACTGAGGTAAACAGGATGAAGTGACTCGGCCAGAACCACATAGCTAGTAAGTGTCTGAGGCTGGATTTGAACTCAGGAAGATGAGTCTTTCTGTCTCCAGGTCCAGGCTATCCACTGTGTCACCCACCTGCCCCAAGTGCTACCAACCAATATTTACTAAGCTCTATTGTATACCTAGCACTACAATGGGTACCGTGGAGGACACGAAAGGAGACCAAAAAATAGATTTCTCAGAAAACAACTATTCATTTGGACAATGAACAAAGCCAACAGCTTGCTTTAGTAATGTACCACCAGGTGGCAGTATAATTTCATTTATCATTTAAGTCAGGTCCTTCTATTCTACAAATTCTTGCTGACCTCCAGTTCAAGTGATCACTGCTATTCACAGGGGGGGGGACACACTGAATCTCCAAGTCGGGCAAGGCAAGGGAGGGAGACCTTAGAAGACATCATCTAGTCAAACTTCTTCCCTGAATAGAATTTCCTTCCACTAAAAGATTTCCATCGGTTGAAGATTCACTGTCTTCCAACTTGGCCCATTCCACTTGGCACAACTTTAAATGATCCAGCTGTTACTGACATTGTGCCAATAACCTGTCTCTCAACGACTTCCCCCCAGTCCTCCTAGCTCCGCCCTCTGGGGTGAAGCAGAGGAAATCTAATCTCTTTCCCATAGGACGACTATGCAAATATTGAAGACAGCTAGCCTCTCCCCTCCAAGTCCCCTGTTCTTCAGGTTAAATATACTTAGGTAGTGCACAGCATGATGTCCAGGTCACTCACCATTCTGAGCATCTTTCCTACTCTGGGTCCTCTCAGTAGACTCCCTTCTTAAACTGTAGCACCTGGTACATACAGGAGCCCAGATGTGGTCTCTCTAGGACAAAACATAGTGGTGCTGTTCAAGCACCAAAGGGAACTCTGTCTTAGGGGTCCTTCTCTCCTCTCCCTCCTTCTCCTGTGGAAGTCAGAAGTTGACCCAATCAAGCCAGCAGGAATTTATAAGATATCTGTTGTTGTAGTGTCTAGTCTTTGTGACCCCATTTGGGGTTCTCTTGGCAAAGATACTGGAGTGGTTTGCCATTTCCTTCTCTGGCTCATTAACAGATGAGGAGACTGAGGCAAACTGGTTAAGTGATTTGCTCAGGGTCACACAGCTAGTGTCTAAGGTCATATTTGAACTCAAGATGAGTCTTCCTGACTCCAGGTCCGGAGCTCTAACCACTGCACCACCTAGCTGCCCTATAAGGCGCCTACCATAAGCCAGATATTACTCTAGTTACTGGGAATTCAAAGACAAAAGTGAAAGCCTCTGCCTTCAGACAGCTTACAGTCTAGTTCTATTTTTCCTGTTTGTAAAAGCACGAGTCAATTTTATTTTCTGTGATGTTCAGTATTCACTATCAATGTCACTATATAAAGAATTTCTAACTTAAAAAGACTTATATCCATTACTCATGTCAAACTCAGCTGAATGAATCCAACCAGTAATCAAGTCTGAACAGAACCCTTAAAAAAATGACTTGCAAAATATTTCTCAAGAAGTCAAGAAATATTTATTAAGCGCCTACTATGTGCTAAGCTTTGAGGATACAAAGAAGGTAAAAGACAGTGCTGTCTTTTTCCACCTTATTCCTCCACCCAGTGACACTGTCCACCTTGTTCAACCGAGAGGCTCCATCTCTCAGCTCCCAGCATCCTCGCTGGCTGTCCTCCATGCCCGGAAGGTCCGTCCTCTGCTCCAGCCACTGACCTCCCCAGCTTCCTTTCAGTTCCACCTCCTCCGGGAAGCCTTGTCTTTTGCATGCTTTGTTTTGTATATGGTAGTAGTGGTGGTGTGACTCTCTGTAACTCCTTTTCAGGTTTTCTTGGCACAGACATGGCAGTGGTTTGCCATTTCCTTCTCCAGCTCATTTGACAGATGAGGAAACTGAGGCAAACAAGGTGAAGTGACTTGCCCAGGGTCACACAGCTAATAAGTGTCTGAAGTCGCATTTGAACTCAGGTCCTCCTGACTCCAGAACCAGCGCCATCCACTGAGCCACCTAGCTGCACCTGGATTCAAATCCCACCTACGGTGCTTACTACTTTGGGACCGTGGGCAAGTCACTTCACCTCTCTGAGTCTCAGTTTCTGCATCTGTAAAGTGAGAGGGTTGGGCTACATGGCCTTTCGGGTCCCTTGCTGCTCTAGGTCCAGGGCAGTGTGACTCAGTTTCCTGCACTGCAACACCCTGAGCTCGGCTTCCTTCCCGCCCTACCAGGCCGCAGCCCCTTGACAGCTCTGCGCCTGCGCGAAGAAATAAACACCCCCCCCCCCGCTGACTCCTCCCCTTCGGAGTCCGGCGGAAATGGGCCGGGGTGGGAGTGGGGGTGGGGGCGACCTCGGGGGACGCTCTAACCGGGAACTAAAAGCTCTGGCCTTTGCTCGGCCCGGCCGGCCCCAGCGATGAGCCGAGTCTCGCCGACCCAGAAGCTTCGCAGGGCCTCGCGGCGGCGCCGGAAGTGACGCGAGGCCGTCGGGTGGACCCTCGCATCCCGTCGGGCCTTGCGGCGGCGGGAAGATGGCGGCGGCGGGAGCGTTAGAGAAGAGTTTCGTGGAGCTGTGCGGTGCCGAGCGAGAGACACAGCGGCGCTTCCGGGACTTCACCGTCGGCGGCTCCGGTACGCGGCGAGCGGGCCTCCAGGCTCCGGCCTCCCCTTCCCCTGGACCCCGGCCCCCCAAGCTACCCTCCCCTCCCCTGGCTCGTCAGCGCCCCCGAGGCCGCCGCTGGGCTGGGGGCGGAGCCCTCGGACCCAGCGGCCAGTCACCGCCCCCTCCGTGCCTCAGTGTCCTCTTCTGTAAAAAGGGAGCTTGGCTCAAGGGATCGGAAGGGGTCCCGGCTCGGACTCGGACGTTCTCGAAGATCCCTCCCAGCCGTGACGTTATGGGCTCTGAGGCCCTGTCTCCAAAGATCTCCATCCCCTGCTCCAAGGCCCCTCCCACCCCTCCCATCCCCTGCTCCAAGCCCCCCCCTTCACATCCCCTGCTCCAAGGCCCCCCCACCCCATCCCCTGCTCCAAGGCCCCTCCCACCCCTCCCATCCCCTGCTCCAAGGCCCCTCCCACCCCTCCCATCCCCTGCTCCAAGGCCCCTCCCACCCCTCCCATTCCCTGCTCTAAGGCCCCTCCCACCCCTCCCATTCTCTGTTCTAAGGCTCCTCTCAACCCTTCACATCCCTTGCTCTAAGGCCCCTCCCATCCCTCCCATCCCATGCTCTAAGGCCCCTCCCACCCCTCAGAGTCTCTATCCTAAGGCTCCTCCCCACTTTGACATTCTATGTTCTAAGGATCTCTACAGCTCCAACAATCTATGTTCTAAAGTCTCTCCTACCCATGAAGTTCATATTCTTTTTTTTTTTTTGGCTAGGCAGTGGGGTTAAGTGACTTGCCCAGGGTCACACAGCTAGTAAATGTTATGTGTCTGAGTCTGAATTTGAACTCAGGTCCTCCTGACTCCAGGGCGGGTGCTCTATCCACTGCGCCACCTAGCTGCCCCTTGAGTTCATATTCTAAGAAATTTTCCAGCTCTAACATTCTATGTTCTAAAGCCCTTTCCAGTTCTGGTATTATAGGTTCTAAAGCCCCTCTCAGCTCTGACATTCTGTGCTTCAAAGTCCCTTCCATCTCTGACATTCTCTGTTCTAAAGTCCATTCCAGCTCTAACATTCTGTTATCTAAGGCTGCTTTCAGCTCTTGAGTGTTAAGCCTCTCTCCGATGTTCCCTTTGCAGAACTTGTGGGTTTATCAGGAACTGTGAAATATGTTGAGAGTGCTGGTGGCTTCTACTATATAGAAAGCAGCAAGTTGTTTTCGGTCACCAGAAACAGGTTCATTCATTGGTGAGTGTTACAGTTACCTCTGCCAGAAAGGAGGGCTGGGCCATATATACTCTTGTACAATGGGGGAACCTTACTTTAGGTGAATAATGGTTTTTAAGAATGGGAGGAGACTTAAAAATGTCATTTCTAAGTTATGTGGCAAACAAATGTAGCAAGGAAAAATTCCAGATTTGAATTCTGACTTAATACTTTGCTGACTCAGTACCTGTGTGACTTTGGTCACATTATGTAATACCTCTGGACCTCAGTTTCCACATCTGTAAAATGAGAGTGTTGGACTATATAACCTCTAATGAATGACCTTTCCTGCTATAAATTTATGATCCTAGACAGTAGAAAATAAAAATGACCAACATTAAACATACTGTACTATGTAGTAACATATAGAACATGGTGATAGATACTAGGAAAAATACATAGTTTAGATAAGATATTGATCTGTCCTCACAGAGTTTACACTCTAGTACAGGCCTGCACAACATCCAGCCCGTGGGTCACTCGCAGCCCACTGAAGGATTTTAGGCAGCCCTCGAAAAATGTAGGGTTGCCACTGCGCACTCTCCTGTTGTATTGGGGAAAACATGGGTGTGGAAGTGCTTGTCAGGATTTGCAATGAAGGCTAAACCTCCTTCTCCAGTTAGCCTTTGACCAAAGGGTTCTGTCTTCAGTAGAAGTGTATAGGTGATGAGTTTGAAAATGTTTCTTTTTAGTACCCTTCTTAAAGTTTGGAATCTCTTTGCCTCCTGATATGCAAGCCCGGTTTTGGAAATAGCAAGAGAAAACCAAACAGCCTCATGAGATTAGAACCGTTTTTACATGCTATTGTGGTCCCTTTAACTGTGGAAGTGGTGTGTAATGATGAACAGATAGCTGACCACATGCTACTTGGGCAGGCCCTGCCATGAGCTATAGGAGTTAGCAGTGGATCACCCAAGCTCGTGGGAGTTGCCTTTGCTTGGTGTTATATTGATTTAGTCACATGACCAATATCATGAAAACAAACTTCATGGCAACAGTTCTTCCATCCTATTAAATTTTACCATCTCTTGTTCCAGCTTCTTTTGGGGCTCTCACCTCAAGGGTCACTTCCTACACCAGGCTTTTCCTGATCCCCCCAGTTGTCAGCCACCTGCCATGCTCTCAAAATTACTTTGTGTATATTTTGTACTTACGTATTTGAATTCCAATTATTCCACCTCCAATAGAATGTGAATTTCTTGAGGACAGGAGCCATTACACTTATTCTGTTTTCTTTCTGGTGCCTAACAGAAATGCTATATAATAGCTAGCATTTGTGTAGCACCTTAAGGTTTGCAAAGGCCTTTATAAATATTATCTCATTTGATTCTCCCAACAACCTTGGAAGGTAAGTGCTTTTATTATCTCCATTTTAAAAATGAGGAAACTGAGGCAAACAGAGGTTAGGTACCTTGTCCCACAGCTAGTAAATGTCTGAGGCAGGATTTAAACTCAGCCCTTCCTGCCTCCAGGTCCAGTGCTCTATCCATTGCTCCACTTAGCTGCCTCGTAGCTTCTTTAGAATGCTCGTTGAGTTGAATTGCTTCAAATAAATGAAGCTTCGAAGTATGTTCATTTTGTGGGGATGTTTTTAGTATTAGGTTTATATTATTCTCTGCATTGTAAATTCAACTATAACTTTGTTATTTGGGGCTCTTGGATAGCATTGTGTATGTAACATTGGTCTAAGGTCTTTTATCTGAATTCTCAAATGTGGGGTACTTGCATATAGTATTTCTTATACATATAATATTCTTATACTGCCCAGTAACAGAGTAAAATATAAACTTGATAACCACCAGGAAGTCTCTCTCTCTCCCTCCTCCCCACAGGGTCACCTCAGGCGATACATTAGAGCTGGTGGAGGAATCTCTGGACATAAATCTTCTGAATAATGCCATCCGCCTCAGATTCCAAAATTGTAATGTCTTACCTGGAGGTGTTCACGTCTCTGAGACTCATAATCATGTGATCATTTTGATTTTAACCAATCATACAGTTCACAGATTAATACTGCCTCACCCTTCCCGGATGTACAGGAGTGTAAGTTTAAGTGAAGTTTCCAGAATGACTATGGCTATCACTAACTCATAACCCCCCCTTTAGTTGTGCCGTAGAACATTATCCCTTAGATTGTGAGCAAACTTGATTTCCTTACTAGAGCTGTAATTACCAAATGTGCATCAGACTGAATATTTCAAGATTGCAGAGGAACTTTTTTCTTTTTAGACAACCCATTTTCACTTTAAGAGGATTGATATTAGTATAAAGGAGTGATTATTTTTTAATTTATAAATGGCTTGTTATTTTGCAGGAGTTGGTAACTGAGAGTCAAATGCAGTCAATATTCACTGATATTGGGAAAGTTGATTTCGGGGATCCTTGCAACTGCCAGTTAATCCCTACAGTTCCTGGACTGGCAGCCAATTCTACCACTTCAGTTGCCTGGCTTAGCAGTGAGGGGGAAGCAATGTTTGCTCTCCCTTCAGCTTCCGGGGCATTATTTGTCCTGAAACTACCTCCTCATGATATACCTGGTAAGATGGGGACCTGGCTTCCATTTTATAATTATGTCTTATGAAGGGGAGAAAGGGGCTCCACATTGTCCCGTCCTGCCTCCTTTCTCAAGGGAAGGGGCCACTTCCCCAGCATTCCTAACAGGGTTTCGCTGGCATGGCTCATGTAGTTCCATCTTCTCATATTTTAAAGCATTGAATCCCTAGGCAGTATTACTTGACCTCTAAATTTTAACTTATCCCCTTATTAGACTGGAAGACCTGTGAGGTCTGCACATATTAGATACTTGATAAATGTTGATTGAATTAAATAAGGCACCATTTTTTTTTGCACAGGTCTCATACATGTTTTACTCATGGATTCCAAAGTGTAACAGGAGCAATGAAACCTATAAAAGAGTAGGAAAATTGAAGTTGAGCCCTCAAATTATATAATCTACTCCAGGTTATACAATGCATTATTATAGATGATAGGACCAAAACATGGACTCCTGTCCTAAGGTCAAAAACTAGCATTTAAAATTATTAATATTAAATAGATTAATGTGATTAAAAAATGGTTTTGGTTTCCGCTCCCAGGAAGAAGTAAAGTGTTTTCCAAAGCTAGACCCTGTCAGTAGGTCATCTTGTTGAACTTCAAGCACATGTTTTCAATCATCATGAGAAATGTTTTTTAATGTGTTCTCCTCAGGTAAAGATATAGCCCAAGTTTCTCTCTTCACTGTTTGAGTCTTTTACCCTGTTTTGTTTTGTTACTGAGGACTACTTTTAGGCGGGCAAAACATAAGTAAGGGACCTTAGATATATTTTGTTTCTTTTTTTTTTGTTTTCTAGGTACTGTGTCAGTTGTAGAATTGAAACAGAGCTCAGTAATGCAACGTTTGCTTACAGGCTGGATGCCAACAGCTATGAGGTTAGTAGTAGCTTTCAAAAAAGTCAAAAGCCATGTACTGGTCTAATTTATGCCTTGGCTTAGATTTTTTATTATTTTTTAAAATTTTATTAATTTATTTTGATTTATCAACAATCACTTCCATATGCTTTTGAGTTTAAAATTTTTCTCCCCCTTCCTCCCCACCCCCCCTCCCCAAGATGGCGCACAATCTCACATAGGCTATACATTTACATTCCAGTTAAACATATTTTCACATTAGTGAAGTTGTAAGTAAAAAATAAAACCAATAGGAGGAACCATTAGAAAGAGGAACCAAAACTCAACAGAAGAGGGAAAAAACGATAGCAGTTCAACTTCCGTAGTTCTTTCTTTGGATGTGGATAGCATTTTCCACCACGAAGCCTCTGGGGATGTCTTAGATTCTTGTATTGCTGAGAAGGGTTAAGTTTATCAATATTAGTCATCACACAACGTGGCTGTTATTGTGTACAATGTTCTCTTGGTTCTGCTCATTTCACTCAGCATCAGACCATACAAGTCTTTCCAGGTTTTTCTGAACTAATTGTCATTTGTGAGATGCCAGCATTTCTTATAGCACAATAGTATTCCTTTACATTCATATACCACAACTTGCTCAGCCATTCCCCAATTGATGGGCATCCTCTCAATTTCCAATTCATCTTGGCTTAGATTTTTTAAAAGGCACAGTATTATAATACTACTATTTAAAAAGTATCTCTATGCATGTATTCACACACACACACACACATATATATATATATATATATATATACATATTTCTTCAATACTTCACACTTCAAAGATCTTTGCTTTAAGAGTGTATGCTATCTCTGTCATTATATATCAATGTCCTTCTAAAAATTAATTCATTTTCTTCAGAATACTCTCCAGTCAGCAACCAACAGGTGATGAGCCTCTTCAAATTTAGTTTCTGTGAATGGAATTCACCATCCTGAAATGAGCACAGGAATGATTCTCTCCTTTCTCTGTCTCTTTGTCTGTCTCTCTTCATTTCTATCTCTCAAAATGAGAAAGCACATATATATATATATATATATATATATATATATATATATATATATATATATATATGAGATGTAAATATATGATGTATATATAAACATATATATAAATATAAATACATATATAAATATATATATGCACACACACATACACACAAACACATATATGCATATATAATAGAGCATATATGTACATATGTTGTATTTGCACGCATATATATGCATACACATATACATGCAAACATATATAATGTACATATGTATATATATACACCTATATAAGTTTATTAATATAAATCATAGTAATATACTATTAATAACCTTTCCCAAAGAATTAGCTTTCCAGAACTTTAAATAATATCCATATGTACAGAGGTTGTATTTTCACATATGTTTTTTTTTCTGTGAAAACCGTTTTTAAAAGTAAATTTAAACAGAATCAAAATCTCGTTAAAATACATGGAAAACTATTGTATCAACAGTAGTTCAAGAAATGTGAATTTTGATTGATTGATTTGTAATGTATTTGGGAAAATATTTAATTAATTCTTTCCAGCACAGTGCTAAACACTGAAGGAGGATTTTTTAAGTAGTGACAGAAGGATTCCTGGTTTGAATTTCCCTTTTTTATGCTATGTATACCCACATTCATTTCCTCTGTCACAATGTTTACTAAAAGATAAGCCAGTATCCAAAATATACTTCCTGCAAAATGGCTCCTTTTTTGCCACCCACACTTAACTCTACTGTCAGCAGGTGCTGTAAATATAGTACACGGCAGGTGGTATTACTCCCTTTCAGTAGAAAACCCTTGTATTCTCCCTTCCATCAATAGATCTTACCAGTACCTGAATCCCATTTAAACAGCAATGGAAGCAAGGTTAATTTGTTCCTAGGTATGATTACTCATATTAGTTAGAATCATACCTGATGGCTTGTGGTGATAATCCTACCCATCAAAAGTGAACAAACATGCTTCCTATCTCTTCTACACTGTCTTAGCTAATGTGATAGACACTGACATTATTGGGAAATATTTGAATTCAATTATTAAAGTAATGGGATTTTTTTACCTTGTCATCTAGTACTTAGATACACATATTGTTATTAGTCACATAAACATGTCTGCGTGTTTTCAGACTCACAGCTGAAGCAAAATTGAGGAATCATTATCTGGATCCACAGTTTTCAAAGTTTTTAATCTTAGGATACCTTTACTGAGGACTCTTCCCCCACAAAAATATTTATTTATGAGGTTATATCTGTTACTACTTACCATTTAGAAATTAAAACATTTTATTATTATTCTAAGTATAGATTTGACCTTATGGAAACCCCTAAAAGGGTCTTGGGAACCATTCTTTGAGGATCATTCATCTAGATTTAGTCCCTGGAGTATATGGAGGATATTCAAGGAAATATTCTGGTATGAGGTCTTGCCAAGCCTTTTTCAGGGCTGCTCATCCACATTTGGTGTCCCCCTGACACCCAAGTCTTACCTATGGCTGCAAAAAACTTTAACATGCACATCAGCCTCCTTTCTGGGCAGGTGGGCTAAACCAGGTTGAGGGTTACCAACAGCCCTCATATCCATCAGTGAGTTAGGGGGATGTCTACCCTAAGCATGTGAAAATTTCCTCCAGCAGAATAGGAGGATGAGAACAATTTGTTTCAATGGTAATGAAGGTGGCTAAAGTAGATTCTGTGGAGGACTTAGAACTTGGTCAGGCATCAAAGACACCAACCATGCACTGCATTTCTGGCCATCACCGGTTGTATTGACGTTTATCATGCTACCGGGCATTCATGACTTTGGAAGAGAGCATTCGGCTGATGAATTTGCAACTCTGCCTCATTTAAATCCAGTTCATACTCAAGTCCCTACCTTGTGATGTCACTGGTGCTATTCTAAAACAAAGGGCAAACAATGACAATAACAACTTCATGGAAGCAAGAAGATGGACTTGTTGAGCTCCTAAGATTGAGTCTTGATGATTAATCACAGACCTGTATTTCTAAGTCAAAGGTCAAATAGGCACCTGATTGGGGAAAAAGGATATACCCCATCCTTGTCTTTTTGCCTGATATATGTGAATCATTCATATGGGTTGCATATGACAGGTAGTATGAAATATAATTGATATAAGTCACTGGCTATGGTACAGATTAACTGTGATCACTGCGGAAGCACTTTCCCTATCAATGTCATCCAGAAGCTATTACTAAATAATGCTAAATTATAGACCAGTTACCAATCTGTATCAATGGAGAGATTTATTTTTTCCACAATACTAATTCCTTTTCCTGATGAAATTACAAATATAAAACAAAAGAGGAGATTAATGTACAGTGGTAATTAATGCAGCATTACTTCAAAATCTCACATGATTCTGGCTTTATATAGGTAATGCTGTAGTGGTGAATTGCATTGAGCTCTGATCCCAGAGTCAAGAGAAAATAGACTTTGTATTCTACCTCTAACATTCACATGTTTCCTCATCTGTAAAATGGAGACAATAAATGGATTTACTTGCATTGTTGTGAGGATCAATTGGGATAACATGTTGTAAATCATTTCATCAACCTGAAAGAGTTATGTATATGACTATTTCTATCTCTTATGTTACGACTCTTTGTGCACATATACACATATAAAATTTCTCCAATTAGAATATATGAATCTTGTAGATAGAATCAATGACTTATAATTGTTTATAATTATTTTTTAATTTGTATCCACATAATGATGACAATAACCAATTATCAAAAGCCAACACTCTACTTTGTTGTTGTTCACTCATTT